ATTACCAACTGAAATGGTGACGTAATTGAGCGTAACCCAAATATGAGTGAAAATGAGTGTAGAAAAGGAGTGAGATGCATTATGTAGCTATAGATCTGTTGCTGAATAAGACCTGTTGTGTCTAAAATTTAAACGTAATTAAAAGGAAAATTAACGTACTGTTAAATTACGGATAGTAACCGGAATGTTCAAATGTGTTTAAATTGTGATAATGGTTTAAACTTTATTCTGCCACACGACTAATTAATTTAAAATCACACAATTTAAATTGTACAATACAGAAATACCGTTAGGTTCCCTATGATAAATTGGTGTGATATCTATGGATAAAGTAACTGTTTTCTACGTGTTTTGTGCTCGTGGATCGTTAATAAATAATATACCGAACATTAGAATACTTCGGTTATATCTTACAGTTATTTTTGAGGTATCTTATAAAATCAAACATTTTATTGGCGACAACATTCTCAATGTGGGTTTGTTAGCCAACGTATGGTATAAGTTACATAGTTCAGTATGACAAAATATGTTGCTTTGGTCTTAAAAAGTAAAAATCCGCGCTCAGCTTCGAGAACAACTTAAGTAGTGTAGGAAAGATTCAAGTGATTAAACTATTACAATGTTGAAGCCATACACATTCACCAAAATGATGTTAAATAAGGCTGCTCATTCCACACAATAAATGAAGGCACATCTATTTCCCTGGCAACAATGAACAACAAAGACTCCTTCAGTCAGCTGATCATTGTAACAGCAATTCCAGTATTCAAATGTAAATCGTGCTGATGATATCTCTCAAACACATTGCTTGTGGTCGCGACACTGTTTATAATGCTGGAGACGGATATACCACGATGGCAACGATGTTTATGATGTTAGTAAACAGCACACTTCTCTCAGAGTTTGAGTGAAAGCCAAAAGATTCAACTTCTAGATCAAGAGGACATCCGCAGCTGCATACAGACAGAAGTTGTTTTCGAGGGTTCAAAAGATGGCTTGTAATTTCCGAACATTTTAATTGGTTGACGTAATCGCAGTTTATCGATCAAAATGTCTATTCATATAGATTGATTGCTAACTCGTTGAATATCGGGCATTGAAGAGCAATCGCCTATCCTACTCATATGAGCAATAGCTTTAAGTAGTTTTTAGCGAATCGCCCTATAGGGAAGTACCTAATGTGCATATACCGCACGTTTCTAGATTAGGGACCAAACCATTTAATTTGGTGAGAAAGTATACAAAATATTACAAGATTTTTACAAAACCCATCCAAAGCTGAGAGGTCATAAAACTGTAGTAAAAACAAGAAACACAAATCAAGAAAGAATGTGTGTTGTGTTATTTGTTGTTTTCTTTCACGATTCCTTTACTACTACAGTACGCTATACCGGTAGCTACTGTACAGTTCTCTATGTTGTTTTTTTTTGTGATTTACAAATTTCCTGTGCATTTGTGTATTTACAAAGCAATTTTTTAGATTGTTCTTGCCTGCGGTGATGTCGAAACGTCGTGAACACCTTAAAAAAAATCGTGATGGAAAATTATCGTCAATAAATCCCTGAAACAAACTTAATTACGAAGGAAATGTAATAAAACAAAGCCACGCCGCGATTAAAATTCTAACGCAGATTTATTATTTTGGCTGCATTGTAAACATAGGGATACAAGACGTTATCCGAGATGCAGGCAGATTCTCAAACGAGCCCAGAAATAAACAAAACACTCCACCAGACACATTTCGTTCAGCCATCCATCTGTTTCAGCCAAGAATGAACAGCTGTTCTGTGTGTGGCCTGCTACTGCACAATGCTCAGCAGTTACGTCGTCTGCTGTTTTGAGGTTATGTTCGCCTGCAGGCGCCGAGGTGGGAGAAACGGGCGGGGAAATATTTATGACCATGTCGCAACTTTTCCTTTGAGACCGAAGTCGCTCTCGCTCGACGACTTGGTCGTGTGGGTGACCATTGTATTGCCGCATTCCGCGTTGTATTGTATTGTCGGGTATTCTGTATTGCTTTGTTCGTGGATGATTGTGAAGAGTTGATTTCAGACGATAAACTCGTCGACTCGCTCCGTCCGTATGAAACCTATACAAATAATAATTGTGATTTTTTTTTGCTGTGTACGAAATTGCTATAGAAAAATACATCAGCCATACCGGTGTTTACTGACAAAATTAAAATACACAATGTATCAAATGGAGGCACTCTAATCTAAATCTTTAAACTATAACTTAGACTAATCAATATGTTTTACCGTATCGATTTTTAAATGCACCTTGGAAAAATAAAAATCTACATGCGTGGATATTTCGTTAATAAGATATTGTTGTAGCGGTCGAGTGGTCACGTGATTTCACTGCAGACGATCTCGTGTATTGCTACTTCCCTTTCAACTTCCATGACACCTTAATTGTGAGCGATGAGGAACGCCGGGCGCACTTCATTCAACCATAGATTAAAGAGTAGATTGGCATACTCTTTAATCTATGGTTTAACCAGTGACAGGCAAATAATCAATTGGTCGTCCCAGAACTTGCGTCCTGTTCCTATTCAACTGTTCCAGGGATTAGGCGATAGGGATTCCAGCGCATTCGTTTTTTAATGTCCATCTTATATACACAAAACTGGACAGAAATGGGTCCTCTGATTTCTTAATTGCTGTGTCATAACTTCCTCAGGCCACGTTGATCAAGCAAATTATTCTTACTTAACGCGTTATAGCTTTTCAAAGGATCGACAAGATGTCTAGACTATTTTTACTTGCTTCAAAAAACAATGTCCAATGTGTGATTACTTACGATGGGTCCTAGCTGTCCTTGATGGGGACGTGACTGACTGCCACTGCCGCAGGAAAATTTGTATATTGCTACACAACCAATTTGAACATTTAAAAATTTCACATAGGCTTTCCAAGTAACTATGTTGGTAGAACAAAATAACAAGGAAAAGTAAACAAAATACTTGAAACATATGATTATAACAAGCCATCCCTAGTAGGTATATGCAAATTATAAAGTACAGTACAAAGTGATAAACATGAGTCGTTACTATTGACAAATATTACATTGGAGATTACTCGATATAGGTAAAATAGAGCAAGTCTGTGTTGACAATGAATACAAACCCTTTGTTGATGATTAATTGATTGGTGTTGATGATTGTTTCGTGTTGGTGCCGTTTGAGTGCACTGGCGTCAACTCAATGTTTCACTATGGTTTAAGGGTAGATTTTACAATTTTTACTCACTCTTTTTTTGTAGCTTACATAATTTGCACAGCTGTATTCGTAATAAATTAAAATTCCACTGGAGCTTAAATAATAATATCCAAAATTAGTTGTAAAACAGGTGAGTTTTCCTTATATAGATTTTACAATCGAAATATAAACTATACCGAGCCATGGCTCGGTCCTCCATGGTGGAAGAAAAACACATAGGTGTGCTATTCAAAATTAACAACAGAAATTAAATTGCTTTTATATAAAACGATTCAACCAAAACTATACAAAACCAGTGTGGACGTGGTATCCAACTGTTGGGAACATCCAGTGAATCAAATCTGAACGTCATCCAAAGATTCCAATCTAAGGTTCTAAGGTACACTCTCCAGGCACCATGGTTTGTTAATAACGAAGTGCTTCACAGGGACAGTCGAACCCCAACGGTAAAAGAAGAAATTTCAAGGTTAAGTGTCAAATACTTAAAGAAATTAGAGTACCATACTAACTACCTTGCTTTAAATTTATTGGACAACAGCAACTGTGTATATAGATTAAAAGATGCCATGTTTTGGACCTAAGTTGTCTTTTAGCGAATTTCCCATATAGGGAAAATAAGCTATTACCGTGGTACTCATGGTAAGACCTGGACCCGGGACCGATTTACTTTTTCGTTTTGAGGTCCCTAGAGGCCAAAAACACCATCCGTTCAAATTCATATGTATATATATATATATTTATATATATATGTGTCCGTTAGCACGATAACTCGAGCAAAAATGATCCGATTTTGATTAAATTTGGTATAAACGTGTAAACCTACATTTATTCGAACGAGTTCACGAACCAGCATGATCGGACTATGGGAACAGGGGTTTATGGGGTAAAAATAGGTTTTTCCCATTTTTGACCCTAAAAAACACAAAAGTTCACAATTTCTTTCCAAACCATTTTGTAAAGCTTAAAAAAACAAATAATTTAGTATATTGAAGCATTATTGTGCGCCTAATGGTTACGGAGAAAATTCCAAAAAATTGTAAATTTAAAATTCCCATGTTATTCTTATGGAGAATAATTCAACTGTTGTAGTTTGCTTGTTTATGAACATATTTTGATCGAATTTGAAAAATACATTAATTTCTTACTAAACTGTAAACATTTTAAAACAAAAAAAAACTTTTTTACCCTCCCTGTTGCAGCAAACCTAAGTACTCGTTAAACTAATTCTATTTAAATAGGGAATAAATGTGATATATTTAAGGAGGCATTTTAGTGTAAATCCAATCAGGCAAATGGAAATTCGCTTAGTCTGCATGTTTGCTGCGGCGGGGGTATTTAGGAATTTATGGATTTAAAACTTCGTACCAATATACAAAGTTTTTGTGTTAGCTTTATTGTTGGAGAAAGACTAACTACTTTATTTCAATTTTATCATATTTGCCTATTGTTCTATTTTTGTTGAACAGATTGTAAATTAAATAAAATGTTAAAACAAAATTCCAGTCATATACTGACGTTACCCAGATTGTAAACAAAAAAAATCACCTGATTGTATTAACATAAGTATATATGTATTTTGATTTGATTGTTATTACTGTTTCTAAATAATGAAATGGTGTTTGCAATCTGGGTGACGTCAGCATAAGACGGGAATAGCACACCTATGTTTTGTGCCACTATGCAGTCCCCTATAGTCCTAAATAATCTGATACAAATTGTAATATAATGAATGATTCCAAGTACTTTGCTGTTGTCCTAATCAAATGTTTTCTACTTCTAGGTCTTTTGCTGTGTTGGAGTGGACTGGAGCCATGCCTTGGAGAAGGATATAGAGGTAGCCTGCTTGGATGGGAAAGCAACCACAATTGAAGACGGAGGAGTGGAGGCCAACTGTGGCTACCAGGGACTTACAAGGGTCACCACCTTCGCACCTTGGCTCTTCCAGCTGGCCAACGTTCTACAGGTATATACATAAGTCGGGAACATTCTGGTACTATTTTTTGGTCCCAAATTTACATCCTATCCTAGGGTTTAGTCTGGGGAATTTTTTTACACTTCAGAGGTGATTGGCAGGATTTGAACCCGGGACTTCAGGGACTAAACATTTCTCTCATGTGCAGCAAAGTGCCACTTCACACACTAGTTAAACAAATAACTATTCTTAAATTCAGTATACACTATTCAGCATTTTCTTGTTAAAGGGTTTGGTTGTATATTTAATAGGTACAGTAACTTACCTACCTAAGCAGTCTAGGAATAGCACTGTCTTTAATATCAAGTTTATTTCATTCAATAAGACTTTCAATAACCCAGTCAATAATGAGGGGTTTCTGAACAATATCAAAATCTTACTTGGAATATTTTGTTTAAACAACATCTGTAAAATGAAAATTCTCTGATTAGTAATTAATAGTCTGAAATAAAGATGTAAATCTGGGTAGAATAAAGGCATGCAAAGTCATTCTTCCAGTAAAGAACTTGAGTGTGCAAAGTGTTAGTCATAGGGCTTCAAGTGTTTATCAACTGTGTGTGCAAACTTTGTTTAACTGCAAGTGCTGGTGACTTCATTAAGCAAACAATAAGTCCCTACTTGACCATGTGTCCATTCTCTCATATCTCTTTGTTAATTGACCTCATAGCGTTTGCCTTTATTTTTCACAGTTTTTTCTCTATAAACAGAGATAAAGGTTTCTATGTACATTATTTTGTTTGCCTATAATCAGATACTTGACTGTGAATGAAGTATACAAAGTTAATATTCATTACCTGAAGTAGCCTAATTAAGTGATAAAAAAACTTGTATAAGTATAATAAATTGTATTCTAAAAATATTTATTGGGTGTGTTTGCCCAAAATTCTAAAATATCAACAAAGTTCTCTATGGTTGAACGTTTTGTCGCATATGATAAGAGGAATGGCTGGATAGCGTAATTTGATCGTGCTCTCATAGTAATTAGAAAGAAGGTTGACAGATCAATTCTGTAAAATTTGTTCAAACTGGGCCCAGCTGGCTTTAATAATTATGAAAGAAACAGCTGATATTAGTCAGTAACAAAGCTACACACATTATCTTACTCAACTTCAGTTCATTCCTCTTAAAATACACACGTATGCATACATCAGTGTTATAAAAGTTATCAATAGTTTTTTATCCTTTACGCGCTAGTGGGATTTTGTAAGTAAGAATCGCTAATACTTATGGGAAAACAGTCTGAACCCTTGATTTTTGTGTATAAGTTGTCCCTCCTGCAAATAAATTGTGAGATGTTAACCATTAAGCTTGCACCACCAGTTAAATCTGGAGAAAGATTTACATTTTATGGATCTAAACTGGATTTTGCTGTCCTTGATCATTCAGGTTTTTATAAAAAAAAAAAAAAAAACACTTGTACAGAATGCCCTCAGCAATTGACGTAACAATAGTAGTTTGTAATTTTCAGTATATTTGTCAAACTAATTTATCGTAATCTTTATTTATTTTTTTAGAAAGTGAATGCGTCCCACAATCACCTCAAGAAAGTGACAGTGTTGCCAGTTTTGCCGAGAGTGTTGACTCTAACCCTTGACCACAACAGCATCAAAGACATCGAACCTCTCGCATTTACCGGGTTGGAGAATCTGCAGAACTTGGACTTGAGCTACAACCGAATTTCAGGTGACTGAGAATTACAGTTTTTTAAAATATAAGTTACCATAACTAACTTGTTGTAGGCTTAATTTGGGCCTATATATAAGGGGGATATATTGCAACGTCTGTTCTAGTTTGAAGTTCACTGTTGGCAATGGCGAGTGTTTGTTGAATACGGTAATGTTTCCGAAATTTACCATCACAGGTTATTTTTACCTACCGACTGGCCTTGAATTCAGAACAAGGTTTTTAAGGGCTTTTACAAGTAAAAGAATGTGGGGTCAAACTATAATGAGAGCAGAAGAGGGGTAGTGAAAGACAGACTGAATAGATGTTAAAAGAGAGATTTTTCAGGGAAAAATAAGTTGATCGTACTAGAGGGAAGAAGACAGAGAAGAAGGATGGATGAGTTTAAGAAAGGTTTAGAGAAGAAAACAAGATGTCAAATGGTCAAGGAAAGGTAAGAATAGGAAATATAAAGAAAACTTCTCAATATCCAGATCCAGAAATGAATAACCGGAACAGAAAGTGATTTGTTTATGTACCTATATTCTGGATGTCTACATCACAATGCTTGAATACTATTCTCGTCATGTTTCTTCAGCTATTATTGAGGTCATGCATTAATCTTGCACGTACTGTTGTACAAATTTAGTATTCATCCATTGTCTTGAATTATTTTACTTAAAACAATTAAATTCCCTTAATGTTGCTGTAGGAGAAAGCCTAAAGGGTGTGTTGGTCGGCAAGAAGACTCCGGGAGGTGATAGATTCGAACCTCTGCCCATCAGGGTACTCAACCTCGGCCACAACAACATCAGCAGTCTAGAGCCTGATGTTGTGGCTCACCTGCAATATCTACGGGATTTATACCTCGACAACAACCCCATCACTGACATCGGGGTGGAGTTCTCCCAGGCGCTGCAGGAACTGACGGAACTCAAGGTGGGTGGAGAGTGCTTGCCTGAGGTTCCCAGATGATTTGAAACTAAACCTAGCTGTATTTGATCTAGAAATTGAACCTGTCAGCTCACGATGGACGTTTTAAATGGTCGTGGCTAGAGCAGCTGGTATTGTTCCTATATCATATTCAACCCCCATATTCTCCTTTACACACATAGGTGTTTCACTATTGTATACATATAATCTAATTAAGATGGGAAAGTGTTTTAAACGCAGGTACAAAACATTCTTTGATCTTTACCGACATCTTAAGGGAAAAATTTGATAGCAAAGCACACAAGCATACTGTTAAAACCTAAAATATTTAGGCCTAACATAAAACTGTTGTTTGGTCTTTTGTAAACTTTTGTTTTAAAAATGTGCCCCTGATGTACATTTGGATTTAGTGTGTAGAAAAATTCACCCAATTTCGAACTGCTAAGATAGATCCTTAGGCTAGGATTATACTAGGACGCTGGCGTCCGAGAGGCCAGCGTCCGGGACGCTAGCGGGGCATTAAATCAAATGGGGGCGATTATACTATGGATGCTAGCGTCGGATGCTAAAAAAAGCCACCGAAAACTCGAAATTATTACCGTAGGTGGCATGGTAAAACCTAGGCCCGGGACCGATTTACTTTTTCATTTTGATGTCCCCAGAGGCCAAAAACACCATCCGTTCGTATAGATTTAAATATCTAAATATATATGTCTGTAAACGCGATAACTGGAGTAACTTTTGTTCTATTTTGAAGAAATTTGGTTTTAAGGTGAAGGGTGGGATAAATTTGAATGAGTTCGCGAACCAGCATGAACATACCTTGGGAACAGGGTTTATGTGCTAAAAAAGGGGGTTTGTCATTTTTGACCCATAAAACTAAAAAATTCACAATTTCTCTCTAGACAATTTTAATGAGCTTAAAAACAAATAATTTAGTACCTATATTTAAGTGTTTTTGTACTGTTATTAGTTATGGAGAAAATTAAAAAAGAGTGTATTAAAAATTGCCATGTTATTCTTATAGAAAATGTTGTTAAGTGTTGGAATTTGCTTGTGTATGGATATATTTCGATTAAACTTGGCCAATTTGTTTTATACTAAGCTAATAATACAGTATTTTACAAAAAAACACACTTTATTAGCCCCCTTAAAGTATAAAACCTTGGTACTCGTTAAACCTAATGTTATTTAATGTTACAAAAAGTGACTAAACATTGAAATAAAATGGCAGTCCGAGAGGCTAGCATCCCAACATAAATCACGTAATTTTTCGGCTCGAGGTGGGACGCTAGCCTCTCGGATGTCAGCATCCCGGACGCCAGCGTCCTAGTATAATCCTAGCCTTAGACACAATATTGTTTCAACAAAATACTTTCCTCTCAATAATGTTTGTTTCAGTTATTGAGCCTTGCTGAATGCAAGTTAAAAACTCTGCCCAAAGACGCATTTTCCGGCCTAGATCTAACCACGTTGTTGTTGAATGGGAACCAGTTCACTCAAGTACCAGATCTTCAACTTCTCGGTAACACACTTAGAGTACTTAACATGAATCAGAATCCGATCGAAGAGCTGGACGACACTTCATTCGCTGGGCTGCACAGGCTCAATGAAATTATGATCTCAGGGATGCCAAAGCTAACGAAGATCGGATCTGGAACTTTCTCGATTTTGGAGAATATCAAAATAATCAGCTGTACGTACAATCCTCAACTTGTTGCAATAGAAGAGAAAGCGTTTTGGAAACTTGATTTGAAACGGACAATGCTTCAAGAGGTAAAGAACAATAATTGTATTTTGTAAACCACTTAGTTAATAAGTTTGAGTTGAGTTGGTTTTACTTAGTTAATGAGACTTCAAGACAAACTTTCTCCTCAAAAAGAATATGTTTGGTTGTGTCTACGCCAGGGGCATAAAAATTGGGTAAGGAGAAATATGAAAAAGGGAATCAGTCTAAATCTCTCAAATATTTTTGGACATGAAGGAAATTAAACCTGTCTCTCTCACGCAAAAGTCTGAGACGCTAGCCACTAGGCTCACACACCTTGATATTTTGATAGCAAATTACTGAGAATAGGGCTTAAGAAAATCCCAAAACTTAGATTAGAAATTAGATTCAACAGCACCACTTGGTTTTATGATATTCTCACACGTTATCACAATAATAATTTAATTGGTGATTGGCAGGATTTGAACCAGAGACCCTGGGGACCAAAGTACACCACTCTGTCACTAGACCAGCCTGCTCCCCACAGTTGTGCTACCTTTAACTATGTAAAGAACTTCAGCATTAAAATTGCAAAACATTAAGGATACTTATTATTACTTATGTTATTATATTTTTAGGTGTATTTGAACAACAACAATCTTCCAAGAGTGAGAAAGAACCTTCTTCCATGGCTCCGAATGTCGAAGGTGACCTTGGATGGGAATCCGTGGGTTTGCGATTGTCGTCTGCACTGGCTGGCAATTCTTCTGCGTAGTAGAAACAACACTGTGGATCGGCTCACAGAGATCAAGTAAATAACTAAACAATTCTTATTTATTTCCAGCATGGACATTTTCCGCTATGCGACTACCAATTTATCATAGAATAAAGACAATGGAAAAGATATATCCGCTAAATCTCTTTAGGGAATATCCGTATCAACGTATGCATCACAAGAAGAAGCTATATGTGGAATGTTAAAATATCAAATGACTTTTGAAACGCTCCTTGTGTTGGTGTTGATGGGACGGTTAAAATAGTATACACTCTTTAAGAAATTGTTGTTCTAAGAAACTAACCTTAAAATAATAATCAATTGTCTAACTTTTCAGATGTAAAGAACCAGTCTGGCTTAACGGGAAGCAAATAGTGTTTTGGGACATCGATTTGACCGGCCGACACGAAAACTTCCCCTGCCTCGCTGAGAGAGAAGAAGAAAAACTGCTCCAACAAAAGCTGCTACTAGAACAGCGAAAATTCGAACTAGAAAGAATTAAAAATGCTACGCCTCCAAAAGAGGAAGAGAGTTCTGTTAAGTTTTACTATATCTTTGCCATTGCTGGCGTTATTATCTCAGTTTTAATTATTGGTGCGATCATTGCATTCAACAAATATAGAAACTACCGGCCAATTTACAATGTTGAAAAAGTGTCCGCGATGAATAACGAAATGAAGTACATGAAGGGTTCGATCACTGAGAAGGCTCAGCTAGTCCCTTAGCGAGTAAATTAACTATGCGTAAATGTTACTTAAATTCATGAATTTAATTTTATGACAGAATTTTTCACCTGAAAGAGATAAGTTACATTTTCATTTACAAATCTTATTTTTGGACTGATTTTTGTGAAATAACAACTTCAGTAGAATTGTGTTAATTAAAAACACATGAGGCTGGAAGACTTAATTATGTTACTGTGCCTTAATTTTTAAGTAGTAAAACGGATGTAGTTTGCCATAAAGGAAAAAATACTGAACAATAAATCATAAGTCACTCTAGTCGTAAGCGTTAGGTTAGTCATTCAAAACATGAATGCTTGTAGCATCACTGTACGATAAACATACCAAGTGTGTTCATTTAAAAAATAATGTTCATTAGATTTTGTATAAGGTTAATTTTGTTCTATACAATGTAGCCTACTTTAAGAATCGGTAGGTCCGCCGGCCATCTTGGATTTTCTGCCCATAATGGCAATGTTAATGGTTGAAGCATATTACCGCATTGTTTATTAAGATAAAAAGTACCTCATACCTTATACCTCCTTCTTCGTCTTTTACCCACAATGTGGGAATGACAGTGTCACTTAACATGGTTACTAATCAAGTTGCAAAATATCTCACTTTAAAGCTATTCAAACAGCGGATGTGATTTGCTATCTACTAAAAAGCAGATGTGAATTGCTATCTACTTTTTAATTTTAATTGTAATAATTTTGTCAAAATACATCATTATTTTGTGTGAACAAAATACATCAACAAAAACATATGTTCACTTTGAAGCCTATTAATCATGCACCGTAAGCTTGATTACGGAGCAGAAAATTTTCTGTGGTTCTTAAATATATTTTCTATGTGAATTGATTTTCGGATTTTTAAAACTTTTGTTTTAGAGGTTGAAAAAAAACCATAGTTTGAGTCAATATATTTATGCAGTTTGACAAAATAATAACAATTAAAATTAAAAAGTAGACAGCAAATCACATCTGCGGTTTCAATAGCTTAAAAATTAGATATTTTGCAACTTTTTATCTTCTTAATAAACAACGCCATGCTTCAACCATTAACATTGCCATTATGGGAAGAAAATCCAAAATGACCGGGGGGCCTACCGACTCCTAATGTTTAGTAATAATTTATCCTTAGTGTTTTAAAATTAAATGATGGTAATATTTTCCCCTGATAAACTCTAAAAACCCAAAGCAAAAATACTAGGTTCGTTTCATTGTATGTGGATCAGGATAGGATAATAACATTAAATAAGTGTTTAAGTTGAAATAACATTGTATTAGCAAGCTTAAGTTTTCATAACTTTGCAGTAATATTTTCATCGCTTTGGTTATATAAGTCTGTTGTAAATAAAACGTTTTATATGAAAAAAATAAAAACTGACAAGTATGTTTAAGTACTTTTTAAACTTTCCTGGAGTAAGGAACAAAAAATCTTGTAAACAGTAAGAATTATATATTTACATTTACATGGTAACAGTCATTACAAAATATCTACTGTTCTCCTGATTTCTTCTCTGCTCGATATTTATTGAAAGCATAATCAATATGTGCTTCCGGATATTTCTCTCCGAGAAAACTGCGGACCTTTCCGTAGTCAGCAATCATCTGTAGTTTTGACTGAAACACAAAAACACCTTTCATAAAATTTCTACACTAAATTGTAGTCTGAATGTTTTATAAGCCACAGTAAGTCTGGGACGGGTGGCGTCGTCCTGTAATCCAGCTACTAGGAGGTTACGAATTGTGGATATTTATAGGCATGCACTGTGGATGCGATACTCCCTGGTGTGGATTAACGTCCGCACGGGTGAGTACTACGACTATCTGCAGTACTATCCTGATAATTAGACCAATTCGTATATACCAAGGAAAAAAGTGGTTCGGATTCCACTATAAACTATAGGTCCCTTAGTCGCCATTAGCTGTATGGGCTATTAACACTTTTAACCCTGAGCGCAAAATGCCCTTAGTATGGGCGTTACTGGGCAATTTTAGGGTATTATTAAAAATTTGTAGCTTGGTAAAAAAAAACTTTTTTTCTGGTGAATAATATATCAAATTAAAGAGAAAATACCGTAGGCTATAAATTACAGGGTTTCAGTTTGAAATAACAAAAAAAATTGAGAAAAACAAAAATTGCAACCGCAAGTACTAACCTAATTAAAAAAGTATTTAATATTTACTTTAGCATAATTATGGCATTTATATCATGTGAAATTGAAGAGAACAACATGCCCTTTCAGGAAATATATACATGTATATAGTTATATTGCTTACCTTACATATTATAACACAAGAAATTGAAATGTCTTTGTCGTATCAGTTCCCAAGCACATCTAGCCTAGGCTTTACTATAGTCTGCTTTGGTATGATACAGTCTAAAACATTCAGGCACACACAATGGTGTTTGGCACTCTGGACACCACCAAGAAGTTTCTTTTCTTCCAGATTTTCCTGTAGAAACTTTGTTTTTTTCCGAACACACTTTGCAAATTCTTGTAGGATTTTTTTTCTTGTCCGTAGAGGGGATTTTGTCAGGGAAATGACGTCCAATAAGTCGATCAGATTTTGTGGCTCTTGCAGTTTCCTCTTCTTGTAATAAAGTCCCTGCTTTTTCGCTCAATGATTTTCCAATTGCTATTATAAATTTTTCAAGGTGACAGAGGGGTCTCAGGTTTGCAGGTCTGGTTTTTCGATATAAGATAAATGCGTTGACAATTGACATCATAAACAAGTGGAAGAACATTTTTTTCCACCATTTCATCTGTTTCCTCTTGAAAGGGTAATAGGAAATAAACTGGTCATTTCTGTCCACACCTGTTTTTTTATTGTTGTAATCCAAAATCAGATCTGGTTTGTGTTTTTGCAACATCCCTTGTTTTGTACGCACCGTAACTTCTGATGTAGTCATTTTATGAGCTGTTGATAGAGCTAAGACATCTCTAGTATCTTTCCATTTTATGCAGAGTAAATGGTTTCTTCTCATGAAAACAGTTTCATTTTTTTGTAGCTTTTTAGTGGTGACAGTCTTGGGCAACTCGGTCCTATTGCTCATGCAGGTACCGACTGCTTTAGTATTTTTCTCCCAGAGAAAGTCAAAAAGCTTTGGTGAAGAGTAAAATCTATCATTATAAATAGTATGTCCTTTATTGAGGTAATCTGCCAACAATCTCTCATATAGAGCTACAACTGTATTACTGGAGTCAGACTTACCGGTGTAGGCTTCAAATTTTAGAACATATCCTGTAGATGCATCACACAAAACATATAATTTCATCCCGTACTTGTCAGGCTTACTTTTATTATAAACTCTAAACCGAACTCTACCCCTGAATCCGCAAGTTCCTTCGTCTATGGTCAAATCTTCGTACGGTGAAAAACACATTGGGAAAGAAGTCAGCAAAAGATCTATATATGGTCTTAGTTTATGTAACGGATCGTGGCCTGGAGTGTTGAATGGGATGTATGTTGAATTATCGTTGATGTGAAAATTTGCCAAAATTGCTAGGAACCTATCCCTGGCCATGACTGATGGAGCATACATAGATTTTATAAAATTGTCTGTTGACCAATAGTCACTAAGTTTAGGTTTTTTCACAACACACATGTGCAATACAATCGAGAAAAAATGGTAAATTTCATAAAGCTTTACGGTTGTCCATTTTGACCAGACACTATTTTTCTTCAATTTGTTTGATCTTCTTAGTTTATCGGTTATAGATTTGGCATATTTATTTGTCTCTGACTTCAATGATTTGATAAAAAATTCAGGAAAAAATATAGAAAACACATCAAATGGAGTTGAGTTCTCATCAATAGCAGCCGTAACACCAGCGCCTAACTCGTCAAATGCTGGTAGTGGCGGTGGGTTGTCCTCCAACCGCCATCCAAGTTCCTCATCAGTGGGTTTTTTTTTCTTCTTTTTCCTTGGTTGAGTCTGCTCCGGTTCATGTTCAAAGTTTTCATTTGGCACAGGTAAATTTGCATTATCCGGTAAGTTTTCATTTGGCGATATAGATCGATGTCTTTTGGTTTTACGATTATAATTAGTACTATTTGACCGGCGTTTTACTTGGTTGGTTACTTTATTAGGCCTAAGAGAACCTAAACAAGAAGTAGCTGAAGGCTGTAAGACATTATCTTCACGATCACTAGGTAGAAAATCAGGATCTTTGTCAACATTGTCGAAATCAGGATCACACAGTTCGTCATCCGAAGAAACTATCGAACTATTAGGCCTAAGTAATTTTCTGTTTTTGCAGATTTTATGATTAGGCTGATTGGGTGGTTGTTCATGACTAATTTCAAGAGGGTTAGGCCTAAATGGTATACCATCTGTAGGCCTAGTAGTGTCTAGAACTGTTTCTGGTTCATCACAGTTTTCTTCATCAGAGTAAATTGTAGGCCTAGGGTTATATTTACATCTAATTGGGCCTAAGTTTCTACTTTCATCTTCTTCAACTACTGAAATTGATTCATTTTTACAGTCATCATTGTCTATGTCACTTGGTAGTAAATCATAAAACACCAACTCATCAGGATCATTTTCATCAACCATGTATGTAACTGCACTAACCTCATTTTGAAAAGCATCTAAATTACTTACAACAAACTCACCTTCCGAACCAGAATCATAAATAGGATCATTCAAGTTTTCATTTACTGATATTGTAGTAGAACTAGGTCCTGAACATAAGTAATTATTTTCACTAAAAGATTGATTTTCTTCATCACTATGGTCTGATTCTGACAAGAGTTCACGAATATGACTCAACGTTTTTTTATCAAATATATCGCTCATATTTGACACTAAACACAATAAAAATTATCCACAACAAGGTATTGCTCATAACAAGAACTATTACGCAATCATAATACTTGTAAAAAACATAAAACATTCACTTTATTGAACACATAAACGATTGTAAACAAAGACAGCCATTAGCGCAGACAACAACAACAAAGCGTCGTCGTCGTCATCACTAAGCAATACGATGCAAGGCTGCAGACAGCTGGATCTTTTTTTTGTGTTACCAAACAGCTGGTTTTTTTTAGGTTGTGGGGTATTACAATCGAAGCCAGATGACCAAGGAATGGTTACGTAATAACAAAAATAGCAAATGTGACGTCATTACGTTGCTATGGAATTTAATATTGAAGCCCGACCTATACTCGGGGTTAGTTCAGTGTGTCTTACGTCATACCCCGACCTATACTCGGGCTTAGGGTTCAATGTGTTAATTAACAGCTGTGTCTAAGGAATAAGTCGGCCTTAGTCACTAACAAGACTACAAGATTGCGCCACTCATCATACACCCATCTCCATTCATACTTGGTTTAAAATACCTACTTTGTATGGTCGCCATTTCAAAGAAAAGTATTAAAGTATAAAGTTTTACGGGCCAGCATTAAGAAACAGCTGGTTTCAGTAAAAGATAAGGCTACTTAATGCATCTCACTCCATTTTACTCCCATCCTGCCAATTTTATTAAAATGAATATGTGGAGTAAATAACTTATTCATTTTTTTTTTATGTAAACCACTAAGTCGGTAATGGTTTTTGGCTGAGAATTTGTAGTTCAAAGAGCAAAAATCTATACTTCCCTTTGCTCAGTTATGCTAAAGTAAATAATATTTCCTCCTTTTGTTTACTGCATTCATGACTCGATTCGTTATTTCACAAAGACTACATATAATTATTTTAAAATTTGTTTATGGATGCTCAGGTTGGTTTGATCCTACTGTATATCGCCTACAAGTTCCAAATATATTTCAATCTAACCTTTTCGTGAGTTCTTCTCTTTTCTGCTTGCCAAAGGTGTTTCTTGTATCCAAAAGTGTCCGCATAGAAAGGAGGAAACTTCTTCCGCTGCAGTGCTACTCGGTTGTTCATTATGTACTATAAACATCAACTCAACATTAGTATACTAAAGTGCAAGAGTCGTAATACCAGAGTAAACATGTAATACTTGAGACTCATAAAACTTTCTTGGAACTAGATGTACTTGGTCAAGTTGGATACAGTAGGCCTAACTGAATTTTTATAGGTCCTAACATCAAAATAGGGAAGGAATTACTTTTTCAATTGTCTATTGAAGGTTGACTTCTTATAAATGTTGATAACTTATTTTGCATTGAAAGCATGGAGGAAAGTTTTATCAGGTGACACCTACGCAGATTAGGTTTATTTTACCTATGCTTCAGTCAAAAAATTTAGTAGTTTTGTTGAATACTTATACAGCTGTTTTGTACACAAGGGGCGCATTGTCAGGTCTATAAACAAAGTTGAAGTCGTCATAAGGAGGTACAGGATACAGCATGACATTTTGCACCTGAGTTCTCATGATTAAGAAACAGCTGTAGTCACTTCAACTAGACAAGATCGTTTTACTGGACCACAGGCTAATCTTAATGGCAATTTCATTCTAGATTTTTTCATTTTGGTTTGTTAACTTTAAGATTTACTCACTAAAAATTGATGCTGAAGGTTAACTCAACTTTACCTGGTCAAAATCCGGAGGATCTGTACTATCTTGCTTGGGCTCTTGAGGCGAGGCTAGGACAATGGGCAATTCTCCGTTCTCCTCACGGAACTCTACCAGGTGATAACCCGTCTCTTCGGCCAGCTGTTCATGGGTTTTCTGTTGAAGTAGACCCAAGAAGAAAGCTTTGGTGATATTCTGAATGTTGATGGCACCCTCTACCTTAGCGTAAATATCTTTAATGCCAATCACCTGACACATGCTTTTTATAGCTCGATGGCATTTGAGACCATAACCTTCTGGCACCTTCTTGACAAAGATTTTGGTGCTGCCGAACTGGGCGAAGAAGTCGTGCATAACTGAAACATTTATAATTTGTTAGGGTTTATAACTAAAATTAGATTATCGTTATCAAATCTCTTCCAATAAAGGCATACATACCAAGTTACAATACAGTTTTCAGGTTAACCAAGTACCGGGGAATCGAGCTTTGCTTGGTTGTGATTAATTGGGTCTGATCGTTTAAACAATATTGTAAACAGACACATTTTATAATTTATGAAAAAACTTTTATTACAAACTATAGAAATTTGATCACTGAAATAATAAAAATTCTGTTAGACAGAACTTGTCAAATATTTCCATATTTCTCATTCACTCACGTACTATGAGCCAGATGGTGGACCTTTTTCAGCAAGTTCAATGACAAATTACACACAAACGGAAGTCTATTGAAGACTTTATCTGTCAGCAATGATTACTGTCCTTAACTTTACTCATGCGACACCTAAGGTTCTACATCCACTAGTAATGTGGATTGAAGTAAGTTCTATCAGTGGTCTTAATAGACCAAGTACACATAAAGCATCAGACTAAGTAACGAGAGATTTACCAGTGTGGTTGTTGTAGCGCTCTATGTACATGAGTTTCTGTCCAGCTCTGTTCTTGGCCGTGACAAGAGCCACTCTCCCCTCCACTGCCTTGCCTCGGGCGAACCCTGCCAGTCCCTCGCCGTTGCCCGTCACCACAAACGCACTCACTTGCCTCTTGCGGCCCAGGTTACCGGTCATGTGGAATACTTGTTTGTACTGTGGAAACATTGTATTCATGAATATAACATTATATGTGTTCAACAATTCAGTAGACTCCCTCTTAACCGGACAATTTTTGACCGGACATCAGTTTGACCGGACTACACCCGGCGGAAATGACATCTCTTTAACGGGACAATTTTTATCATAACATTGGTTTAACAGGACTTGATCGGCAGGAAGTGGGCGGTACTGAAACGACATTTCTCGAGGGAAAGATTTGAGACCAGTGGCCATGTACAATGCTCTCCTAAATTTAAGTCAAATACTGTATACAGTATGCATTTTAACGGTCTGTTTCAGTGGCGTAACAGTATTTCCCCGGGCCCCCCCGCAAAAATGTCTGTGGGCCCCCTACTACCCCTCCCATTCCCCACCACAGCACTATATACCACAACCGTCACCACACCACAACTATCACATGACGTAGGTGACGTCAGGCATACGGCCTACACGATCAGACTGGCAGAGGATGGTCTCTAGCAATATCAAGTATTTACCTATTCTTCAACCACACGACCAGAGTCGTCCTTGAAACATATTTTATATTTTGTCACTGTCACAGTGATAATAAACTTGGGAGTTATGTCCGTGATTAATATATATGGGCTACTCCATTACTCCACCATTCACATTCATTACTAAACTCAACTAAGCTTCCAACTATAATTTGAGTCGGGACCACGAAAGTTTGCAGTTGAGGGAGTAGCCTATTTACCATTTGACTTCAAATGAGCCAATGAGGGCAGTGCGGTGTTGCCAAATCGAATAATACCAGCTGTTTTAAAAATATTGTTTAGTATTTTAATTAGTGTCGTCAAAGGGCGATATGGCAACGTCGCACTAGTCTTGTGATTGGCTGCCGCCAACTGCAAACTTTCGTGGTCCCAACTGTAAAATGTTAGTGCTTCACTAAATTAGCCCAATTTAATGACATGACACCTGATTGAGAAACTCTCGCGACATGCACTACTGACGAGTCACTCGCAATCCGCATGGAATGGATCTCCAAAATCAGGTGATCTACGGTCAGCTGAGTACACGTGAGCGGTTAGTGGGGGAGGGGGGAGGGCCGAGGGGCTGGCTCCGAGTGTGTGTCGCCACGGCGCGGCGGCAGGCCGGCAAGCAGGCACACAGCTCCTAGCGCTAGCATGAAGCTACACAACCATACTGACAATACACATCGTCGGGTGATCGTAGTGAGCGTTGGCGTTTCGTTAACAATATTGTTAATTAAAAGATAAAACTTTAGTAGATTTGGCAGAATAAAAGTATCTACCAACACATCGTTTTTTATTTATAATAATTTGTCAGAAGAGAAAAACATCCGTGAACAAAGGATCGGTTTTACGGACGGTTTTATGAGAAAAGGGTATCTTAACCTCGCGGGCCCCTAAACCTCGCGGGCCCCCCCGCACCGCGGGGTCTGCGGGGGCGGCTGTTACGCCACTGGTCTGTTTTAATGAGTTTTTGGGTACGTAGGTTTAACCGGAAAACCCGTTATCCGGACTGGCCTCGGTCCCGAGGAGTCTGGATGAGAGGGAGTCTACTGTAGCAGGACGAGCTACGAATCCAAGATAGCAATGTCGTCGGTTTGTGCCAAGGTATCAACAATAATTCAAAGAGTTCACTTTTGTACTGAATTGGCTCACTCCTTGCTTCGGTCAGGGTGTCTACCAGATTTCTCAATTTTTCATTAGCCATAAAAAAACCCCAACCAAAAACTCGGTCCATTCTCCATGTAACTACAACTTTTTCTGTCTCGCAGTCACAGCACCATCGTCAAAATGTCCACGGTCACGACACTATCGTAACATGTCCCACGGTCACGGCACCATCTTTAACATGTTTTGCGTTGGTGGTGTAAGGTACCAAATTTTAAGGGGGGGTAAAAACGTACTGCAATAAATGAACACCAGAACTTGCCCGATTTTTGACCACAATAGCCTACTCCGAGGCCTATGTGTTGGCCATAGCTTGGGCTATGGGCCAAAGAACGTAGGCCTATTTTTATTCGCAGTGAAGTACACAAACACATCCACAACTACATATTTTTATTCATAATAGCAATCCTTTTCACCAAATAAAGTTAAAACGACCGATTTTACGAATATTTAACGCCGATGACAACATCACTTAACCTCGAAATGGTGTTTGTTGACCGACGACAGACGACAACTAGACCGGCTCAACAGGCGAATCCCCGATCAGCTGTTGGCTAGTTCTCGAACTCACCACCAGAGCGATTAAGCCTCGACCGAGGAAATCTTGATTTGAGCCGGACAGAATTATTCGCTGTTTGACCACCGACTAGCTCGCACGGGTTACGAATACAACGACACTACGATTATCACGAAGGTTAGCTACCATACTAGTTAGGCCCCTTTTTACGTTTTACGTTATTTCTGTTTTATCTTACGCATACTTTACTTATTATACCTTTTCGTTTTCTTAAAATTCCATTACGAATTATCTTAATTAATTTTTCTCAACTCGAGTCTTAACCCGCCAGTTCCTGCCTGCCAGTGACTAGCGGTGGCGATCGTTTATTTCATTTTAATTAATTAGTTTCGAAATTACGATTTCCCCGTTCGCTTAACCAAGAATTATCACGTCTAAATTATATCTCGTTTTCACCGTTTTAATACCCCGAGACTTGTCGTCTAAGTTCTAAACCCCGTCTTTGGCGGGTGAAAGAATCAAGTCTTGGGAGCAGCTGATTTGAACAATCAAACAGCTACAATATTCATATTAAATTTATTTTAAATCATATCACGATAAATTAATCGTTCAGTTATATTAATTAGGCCCCGACGACTCTGTAGGAATTGTTTTTTTTACCTTCTATTCGACATTAGATCGATTACCAACGTCTTTAACTAATTAGTTGCATTTTAATACGAGTATTTAAATCACATTGGCTTAAGATTGAATACTCGTCGGCCCTACAGAGTCATTCTAAAAGTTAGGCAAAATTCTCCAAAACACGTTAGCGAAGGTGAGGATGAAATAGCTCCTACTGAGCGTCTGCAGGATTTCCTGAGCGCTTCTAGAGCTCTGAGCCTTCGATTAAATTTTAAATAAATTGATCAGTCAAAGCCGTGACACCTTCGTATCGACCCCTGGATTTTTCTCGGCTCCTTCTGAGCACTCCGGGGAAGAAATTTGAGTGTGGCCGGTTCTAGGGGTAGGCCTAGCCTGACTTGGTGAATACTAGTTTATTCCCCCCCTAGAATTTTGCGTCACAGTGGCACCATCTTTGACTTGTCTCATGGTCACGGTGCAAGCTTGAAGATCTCCACGATCCCGGAGATATCATCATTGTCTCCAGGGTTCGCGAAATCATTGTGAAAATCTTTCTCAACCGTCGAGACATCATAATCGTCAGCCGCAATTCCGGCAATATTTTTTGCGATTGCGGAAATGTCATCACTGTCACTCGCGACACAGCGAAATCTTCAACGATCAGAACGAATCACGTGCCGAGAAAATCCTGTATTAAATGTAATCCATTTCCCAATGATCGGGAACACACAAACTCTGAAAATTTTTGGTACCTATTCATACCTAATTTTAAAGGGTTAGATTATTCCCGACCTTTAAAAATCCCTGACTTTTTCCTGACTTTCCCAGAAATCCTGACTGGTACACATCCTGTTCACTGGATTCGTTCCAGGCAAAGGCTAGAGGCTTAATTAAAAGAGGCAGTAAATTAAAAAAAAATTAATAAATAATACATTCGGACCAGATGTAGCCAATTTTGGATTAAAAAAGAATGTTTTTTAATGAGCTACACACCGAGTACGCTTCAGAATAAAATACTCTTTCTCCCATAGCTCTTGGTACTATGGGCGATAGTTGATGTGATATAAAGATGCGTACATAAACTGCAATATCAAAACCTTTCATATTTTAAGTTAAGGCACTGAATTTAAGAACTAATTTAAACACTTACCTCAACAACCACTGAATTGAATCCTTCAAACTTATCTGTAAAAGAAAAATAAATAACTAATCAGTATAAAACCCCTTTCAAACAAAACCCGTTATATAATACAAAATGCAAACCATTTGGAAACATTTTAATAAGCTACCATCCCAACTTAAGACAGAGATGCAGTAGGCTAAAAATGTTTGCTCTTACAAAACTTAGAATAGCCTAAGGAATATAATAGCTTAGAAATATACTTGGCGGAATTTTGTCCCTATTCTGTTAAGGATTTCATCAAGAATGACAGACCTATAAAAAAAGTGTTAATACTGTAGTAGTTTTCCCCCATGTTTTTCCATTAGGAAATATAAATTTAATTAAAGTCCAAGATATAGAAATTTCATTCATTGACATGCTATCATGGGTGGATCCACGGAGGGATATGGTGGGGGGGGGGCTATAGATCCCTTTGGGGTGATATGTGAAAAAAATTAAAACGATGAAGTATGATTAGGCATGATCAGGCTAGAATTGTATTTTACGTTATGCCTTCAGGTTTCCTAAATGCATGTTCACAGTTAGGAAGGTTAAAATTTTCCCAAGAGAGGATGACACCCCTATTCAACTGACTGGATTCAACTATGTGTCTTATTTGTTAACCAATATGATAAGCTCAATTTTGTAATGTTAGGCCCTATGCTACGACTAAATAATTTGTTTTGGACTTTGTACAATGTCACCTCAGAACTTAACTAACCTTCCCCAATCGGGTCTGGAGGACCGAGCATACGTCCGCCCAACTTGGCTCCGGTCCATCCTCGCTCGATGGGGCTGAGCTTGAGGGGTCGGAATCCCACCATCTCGCTCCGGATCTTAATCAGCTTCGCCTCTCGTTCGGGATCTTCAGGCAGCTTCTGCTGCTTGACAACCTCCTTGCCTCGAATCACGGGACTGTTGAGACCCGGCCAAATAATGTTGGCCTTTCCTGCGATTCCGAACAAAAATTTGAAAACATGTTATCTAACAGAATACTGTGGGCATTAGTAGAACTTGTTCAAAAAATAGGTAATTACCTTCCTAATCCAAAGCAGTACAACTTTAAATCTTTATGATACAGTCAAAACATTGCCTGGAGAGAAGCTCCCAAGCATCGCCGTTTAGAGACTATCTAATGACAAGTTAAAACTTCTTCTTGCTTAAAGTGATGAATAATGTTCATAACACTAACAAACACCTAAAATGTACTTTAAACAGAAGCTGTTATGTCCTTGCCCCTTGTGTTTTCAATAAATGGCTGTGGCTAAAAAAACAGCTGATTTTAGCCAGTAACTAAGCTGACAGAGATCAGCTGAATGTGAATTGTTGTAATCAAATTCATTCATCCATCGTCACCATGAAATATGCACACTGATATTTTGATCATTTTGTAGAAATCTAATCTAATCTAGAAACATAATTTGTCCGACAATACTAACCAACACCGATCACTTGTCCTTTATTAAGGTTTTTCGCGTGTTTCTTCCTGCCACCTGACGCTCGACCACGTTTGCGTCCTGCATTGCTGACACTTGTGACTCCCTTCCACAAACTTTCTGCAGGTACTGAAACAAACAGCTAAGTTAGGTAAAATTAGGTAGCTTACTATACTCAATGACTTCAGCTATTTTTTCTATAAAAAGAGAAAGTTACAAATTATCAAAACAGTACACTCCCGATTATCTGTATGTAAATAGCTTTAACTTACATTTGTTGAAGAAACTTGTAGTTGATGTTCTGATAACTATTTGTGCATGACTTGCTGGGACAGCTTGTCTCACAGTCAACGCAGAAAACAGAGTAGATAAAGCTTGTACTTTATTTCCTGAAATAAATAAATTGCAATAATTATAAATTAGGCCTACCGTACTCTTAGTCCATACATTTCAGCCTATTCTCAGATTTTTTACCCATAAACTCTTTAAGTTAGGCTATACAAATGCCATTTTCTTGGCCGTTGACCCATCGTATGATGGGAATAGGCGGTGTCAGCGTTAAAACTTATTTTATTTCCTGCACATGTATATAAAACTCACAAATTTTAAAATATGTGAAGAAAAAACATACTTAAGGTGCTCATGGCGGTCGCTTTGCTTTTAATTTAGCTCATCCAAACTACCTTCCAGGAATTCCTTTGTTGAGTAGTAAGGGTTTTTACGGAAGAAATTTCCTGTGGTGGTTTTAAACTTTATGCTGGCAAGGGTCTTCGTGGCAGCTGGGAGTTTGTTGAAGAAAAGGATGGCGCTTCCAGGGTATGAGTCTCGATTTCTACTGAGGCGTGTGCGAGGTACATCGAGTTGATTTCGGCCACTTGTACTGTAGTTGTGTATGTCAGCCCTGGCCACCAGGCCCTGTTCATTGTTCTTGATTTCCTGCATGCATGCCCATATATATGTAGTGGCTAAAGATGGTCAAGATGCCCAGGTTTTTGAAGATGGGTTTGCTATGCTCATGGCGATGGCTGCTTGTTGTAATGCGCACAGCTTTCTTCTGGAGTTTCAAAACTCTGGCTGCTTCAGCAGCGTGTCCCCAGAGATTTATATGCCATAATATATACGACAATGAAACATAGCATGGTACACCAGAACAAGGTAGGAACCTGTACCGGTAACCCACTTCTTTAATCTCCTTAGTAAAAATATAACGCGAGCCAGCTTAGCGCAGACATGTTTGACATGATCGCTCCAGTCCAGTGTTGGGTCAAGGTAGAAACCCAATAGTCTAACACTCCAACCGATGTTGTTTGGGATGCGTGACAGAGTGCAAGTCATCCAGTTTGTCTTGGCCTCATTTAGCTGCAGTTTGTTTGCCCGGAACCACAGCTCCACATCTTTCAGATTATGTTTCGCTTGCTCCGCTGCACGGATCGGTGTTTTCCCTCTGGTATACAAGGTAGTATCGTCAGCAAAGAGCACAAGATTTCCATACCACCCCAGGTCGTTGATGGCAATCAGGAAGAGAAGTGGCCCAAGAACTGAGCCCTGAGGGACTCTGTGTAGAACCTCCCTTTCTGCGGATTTTGCACTATTAAAGTCAACCACTTGTCTTCTGTCACTTAAGTAGCTACTGAGCATGGAGAGAGCTTTACCTCTGACACCAAAAGCGAAAAGCTTATCAACAAGGGAGGAACACAGTCGAACGCTCGACTCAGATCACACAGTGTCAGAGATACTGAGTCGCTGTCTTCAAAAGCGTTTGCTATTTTATCAGCAATGACTGAAACTGCTCCAGTAGTGGACCTACCCCGACAAAAACCGTGCTGTGAGTTACTAAAAAGGTTGTTTGACTCAAAGTAATTGCAAGTTTGTTCCTTTATTACTATCACGAGAACCTTGCCGAGGACAGGTACCAAAGAGATAGGCCTATAGCCAGCCAGAACGTTGGGGTCCCCCTTTTTGTATATTGGCACTGTCCGTGCGATCTTCATGAGTGCGGGGAAAAACCCTGCTGCAGGCTTTCATTGATAGCTAGGGTGAGGGGTGCAATGATGACATTCGCTACTTCCTTAAGGAGCTTGGTAGACCATCCATAGTACCGGTAGTCTTTCATGGCTCACTGTGCTCTTAAGCCCACTTATAATTTTCTGGACCTTTTCTTCATTTACTTTACTCCATGCAGTCTTACTAAGATCGGGCTGGAACTCCGGCATCCGATCTTTCAAAATGTCCAAAGGGCCCGAGAGAGCATCAGGGATACTGGTAGCCTAACTATGTCTGAGACTGATGAATAAAGAAGTTGTTAAATTCATCGGGACTTGCAGCACAGCACATTCCTGGTGTGTGTGGCATGACTGACCTTATGACGTCCCAGCAGCTTTACATTGATTGTTGAATTTTCAATGAATTTGACATTATGGCACCTGCTCTTTTCGCCTCCTTAACTTTTGTTATGCAGCTTCTTAGCTATCAGATACCTAGCCTTGTCTCCCCTGGCACACAGCATCAGCATGAACTCCTTGAGTCTACCAATCTGAATGAAGTCTCAATGAAGAGTTGGAGTGTACCAATCTGATATGCGAGGTTTTCTTTGGTTTAGGCCTACCCGCCTTACTCAAGGTTGCTGCCCGCTTCTTCTTTACTGAGAACACGGTATCTAGGGTTTCCTGAAGGTGGCTAAAAAAATAATCAAAAAACTCTCACCCTGTGGTCTACTAGCAAGAAAACGACCAAAAAATAGCCTTATGTTCAAGTCTATTGGTGTATGGGCTTAGCCTAATTCTATTAATTTATTTCTGAATGTAGTTATTCTTACCATATCTAATGCTGTTTCCTAAAATACTAGGAATCATTGTAGCTCAGTTAGTTACTTTCAATATCAAATAGAGGCTAGCCTACAAACGTTCAGAAAGAAGGGTTTTTTTCAAAATATGACAATTTAGATCATGCCCAATAAATGTACATAAAAAAGCAAGTTATAGCGGTCTATTGTCTCTTTCTATTAGACTCTTTCATTATTTATTTTAAATTAAACTTAATTTAATCTATGAAAAAAACTCTAATTTTAACCTCAATAACTACACTATGAAAATATTATTCCCCCACCCCACCACAACACGAACAGACCATGGACATGGACATGGAATGGAACTGGGAAGGGGAAGCATGACGTCAAATCATGATGTCAACTACGTCATGGAGCGTCCCGTGAGCCTTGTGGGAACTTGACCCCTACCGAGTGCGCTAGTGCCGAGATCAAGAAGACAAGAAGAAAGCATTACAGTATTTCTTCTTTTTACTCTCTGGTCCGATGAATCTCAAATTTTACTGAGTCAGGCAGGCTGAGAGGTTATGTTTATTGTTCTATAATAATTATTAATTCTAAGTTTTCTCAATCTATTGACTGATTAGTTTGTGTTTTTGTTAAACATTTTTTACTGGAGTCTAAAATTATGGCGAGTTCTAGTAAAACTTTGGAAGATAAATTTATGTGGGAGGATGGAGAGGTAATTATTTGTAACTAGGCCTTAGACCTATCAATAGTAAGTTGTGTAAAATAGAAAGTAGGCTAACTCTTAAGCCTAAGTATTTGAAGAAATATACACTGACATTGATATATACTAATTAGGCTCTGTGCATTAAGCTATTATACATATAAAATGTTGTTTTTCAGGAATCACTTGGAGAAGAAGTGTTGCGTATGTCAACAGATGATATTGTAGGCAGAACCCGTCTCTTGGACAATGAAATTAAAATTATGAAGAGCGATGTCATGCGAATTTCTCATGAACTTCAGGCGCAAAACGAGAAAATTAAAGAGAACACTGAAAAAATTAAAGTTAATAAAACACTTCCTTACTTGGTTTCCAATGTCATTGAGGTGAGTTAAGATCTCATATATTAACTGTAGCATAGTAGCTCTAGGTAAGGTACCGTAGTCTAAATTGTGTACCTTAACTTTTTTTTACATTTCAATGTTTTCTCAGTGGTGTTCTAAATCCATGAATAACAAAAGTATAGCTTTTAAAGGCCTGTAAGTGACATAGACAAGGTACAGGTGGTGCAAAAAGGATGGTCGGCATATGAAACTGCATAGTAGCCTACTAGTAGTGGGGAGAGGGGCGGGTGCACTGCCAGCCCTCTGCAAGTTGACCATAGTGCCTATCCAGTTGTGCGCCAGATGGCGCAGTGGACAGTGGATCTACGTTTTTTTGCTGTTGATAAGTTTTCAGGAACTGAATCTTTTATTACCTGTGCAATGGACTGTTTTGACAATATTTTGGTGTAGCCTGTAACTTGAGGGTCTATCCATATCAAGTGATCCAACAGGGGTTGCTTGACCATTTTTAAAATAAATAATATTTTTATCCTAGATACCTTTATCAATTATGGGTTCAAAAGTGATTTTAAATTTTTTTTTATCTATTTTGTTACTCCTACGGCGACCATTTTTGTTTTGCGGAACACGCAAATTTTTGCTCATGTAAGGGTTTGCGTTAACTTGCACAACTCGGTAACCATGAACACTAGAGTGATGAAACAAAAAGCACGTAAAACTGGGTGACTTGAGCCCACTTTTGAACTTTGCTTGTTCATTAAAGTAAACCCATTAAGTATTTTTTTATAAATCTTTTACAGTAAACTTAGTCTTGGTCTATTCTACAAATGTGAAGAATAAGACTTTTTTAAAGTTAGTGTAACATTTAAAAAAAAAATAAAATATGGGTGGGCTCAAGTCACCTCGTTGGTCGGGGTGACTTGAACCCAGCTATTATATTTCAATGCTATTCTAATGCACTAGACCCACTGACCCATGAGGTGACTTGAACCCACATATATAGCTGACTATTTTGGTATTTTTTTAGATTAAAAATTCCTGTCTTTTTGGGTTTAATGACGGTAAGTGTAAAACAAAACACAAAGTTTTCGTCGAAACTGTAATAAATTTATATAAAACTTACAGAAACATTTAAACAAATTTTACTTACCAAATATTGAAGATCTGAATATGGTTAATCAGAAAAAGTCCACCAGCAATTTTTGAAAATATAAAAAAGTAATTTTTTCTGTAAATGAAATGTTGCCAATATCTCGTTCTAGTTAATCCGAACCGATTCGTCACTCCGATATAGAAAACTTCACAATAGACATTTTGACAGTCATTAATAGACTAACTAAATGTAAAAATAACAAATTGTGTTTTATCTACACACTATTTACACTAGTAAAAGCACTTGTTCTACTTTAACTTTGTCCATTAACCGCCACTTTTCCACTTCTGGAACGGCAAAAGATCCTCTGGCAGTAATGGGTGTGGGGGCTGCTATTTTTCCATTAACTTCTAACTTTTTTTAACTTTCTAATTTTTTCTAACTTGAAAAAATTCAACAGATATTATTTCTTACAATAAAAGTGTCTTATTTCATTACTAAACAAACGTTACCACTTAAACACAGGTGGGCTCAAGTCACCCCAAAATCTGCCAAACTTGGTCATGATAAGGTAAACCCAGGTCATACTGACTTAAACCATTACATAATGGGAACCACAGGAAATGGGGAAAAATAGTTTTATTTTCATTTAAGTGCAAATACCCATTGTGCCGATAACCTTTTTTCAACGTAATGAAATTCAGATTAGGACGTGTTAACATTATTATTTTTTATAATTATTAAAATGGACAGTTAAAATAATTGGAATTGTTTGTGGTGAAAGCTAATTAGGTAACCTTCAAATTGATATATAAAACCTTTTGATAAATCATTTAGGTTTTCTGAAACGAAAATTCAAAACTTTTTCTTGCGTTTTGGGCTCAAGTCACCCCGTTTTACGGCATTTTAATCTGGAAGAAACAGCCTAAATATTATGTTCTGTACATATTTATTGAAATGTGTATCAAAAACAGTTTTAAACCCATCTCAACATTTCATAAGAAAACGGAAAAATTTCAACTTTTGAAGGCGTATTACCATTGGAACGAATAAAATCTCAGACTAGATTTTTTTTGTGTGTGTAGCAACTCAGTAGAACTGTTTGTATTTCAAATATCAACCATGCGACTTAATATTAACCATATAACAAAAATCAACCAAGGATTCCACTATAAACTGTAGGTCCCTTAGTTGCCATTAGCTGTATGGGCTATTAATTAACAGCTGTGTCTAAGGAATATGTCGGCCTTAGTCACTAACAAGACTACAAGATCGCGCCACTCATCCTACACTCATCCTTCACTCATATTTGGGTTAAAATACGCACATAGTGGCGTCCCCATCTTAACTAATTGATAATTGAATTGATAATTGAATTCCTTTAAAAGTTATCATTTTTCAAAAACTGAAATTTTTTGAAAAATTCAAATTTTGAGTCTCAATATCTTTGTTGGGACAAAGTTTAAAAATCTGAAATTTTTACCAAAAACCCCTCTTATGGTTGTTATACTGCTGTATGAATTTCATCTTTGAGATTTACTTTCAAGCTAAGTTACAGTATCATGAAAATCGCAAAAACCCCCATAAGCTCGGCCAACGCGGCTAGTACTGTAGGTAGCTTAAAAATTAATTTATAGGTGTAGGTAATTATTTTATTTAATGTTAACTTACCTAACTTACTTTAAAGTAATGTATAGCCTTTTCCTGCAAATTTCTTGTCTTATGTGAAGTTAAAAAAAAACTTTTTATCAGATTATTTTCATTCAGGTTTACACCTTTTTTCAATAGGCCTAAATATTTTGAACTCATTTATTAATTTATTGAACCACTTTCATTTTAATAAAGAATATTAGAAATTTCACATACAAAAGCTGTTTGAAAGACAAGTTCTTAAAGTATACAACTTTTTTTACTTGTTAGTGTTTTTTGTTCTACTTTGATCATGCTTAGGAAGTTTGGATGTTTCTTCATTCAGTTTGGGTTTGTCCTTCCAGTGGTTTTTGTCAGTTAAAAGAGATTTAATTTTCTCAAAACTTTGTTTATAGGCACCCAAGCTTGGTCTTTCTAATTTGTTTTAAAGGCGGTTGGTTGTTGGTCCTGCTGGATCTTTATTTTGATAACTGATGTGAATCACCTCTGCCACCCACCACTGTCATACACAAATACAATAGTCTTCGGTATGAAGTGTAATTTTTACAGCTTTCAGTTGCTAGTGAGGTTACGAAGCACCTAACATTACTACTGTCCGGTACAGGAATAAAACAATGGAAGCTTCTTGTTCCAGTAATCTTTAAACAGTTCTCAAATCGGTCCAGGAGTTTGTTGTTGTGGTGTTGAGTGATTTCTTCATCTGTTATAAAAATGAATTATTTTGTTAAGAAAAACTGTGTTTTGTGACTCATTTACGACTTCCTGTAGGTACTGGAGACTGTATCAGTTACCACAGAATATGAGTTATTTTTTTTCAAAATGCCACAATAAACACTTTATGGATTTGTGTTATACGGTACATTTAAATCTAAATGGAAAATAAATTTTAAGACCTCAATATAAATAGAATTAACTAAGTTTTATTTAAGTTAAATGATGAATAAAACTTAAAATTTAGCAGGATTTTATTTATTTTTAGTACCGTAGCGGTACATATGGGCCTAATTTGTACTTTGGGTACAAAGTTTAAGTTAAAATTCTGTTTTGGATTTTTGAAATGTACATTAAGATAAGTTTACATTAAATAAAAATAAAATAATTACCTACACCTATAAATTAATCTTTAAGCTGACTACAGTACTAGCCACGTTGGCCGAAATTCATACAGCAGTATAACAACCATAAGAGGGGTTTTTGGTAAAAATTTCAGATTTTTAAACTTTGTCCCAACAAAGATATTGAGACTCAAAATTTGAATTTTTCAAAAAATTTCAGTTTTTGGAAAATGATAACTTTTAAAGGAATTAAGTCTCATGGTTGATATTTGAAATACAAACAGTTCTACTGAGTTGCTACACACACAAAAAAAAATCAAGTCTGAGATTTTATTCGTTCCAATGGTAATACGCCTTCAAAAGTTGAAATTTTTCCGTTTTCTTATGAAATGTTGAGATGGGTATAAAACTGTTTTTGATACACATTTCAATAAATATGTACAGAACATAATATTTAG